TTTGCAAGACTGCCTTTTATGATTTACATTAACCTTACCCAGGAGACCCCCTTAAAGTAGAGGGTAGCTTGTAGCATTTGCTCAGACTGCGGAAGCACAGCAGCTGAACTAATGGGTCGCGGTCTGGCGGTTTCACAGTTCCAGGCAGCGGCTCTAGCGGCATGGCTTGACAGCCTATAGCGGCTCTCAGGCAAAAAGCATTTGGGCCCGTTTCTTCTGCTTCAGCAGGCGGGTTCCCCAAAAACTGCCTTCAACCTGGTTTGAAACACAGGAAAAACAAGACACTAGGTTCAGCTCCTTGTGAATCGTAGGTAGGGTGCAATCTGATTCGACCAGTGAACACAGACTCTTCTGCGGAGGGGTTTTGGTGGCTACAACGTAACCACAGCTGTTGTGTCTCCCATTTCAAAACCAAAGGTGAGGGGAAGTTGAATGGAGTCATCTACTAAGGTAAACTGTGTCGCAGGGATCGTGACTGCTCACATCATAAACATTTTATACTCAACAAGTACATGAACATTAATTATACCCCAATTTCCCAAAAGGTCCAGCAGCATGTCTAGAGCAGCAGCAGCGGCGCATTTGGATGAATCTGAGCAGCAGAAGCAGTTCCTCATGAGCTTCAGAGCATCTGAGGCGCAGTCTGCGCTTCACAAGCAGCAGATGCTGGAGTTGGAGAAATTGAATTTTTGCTGTTTGACGCACCACATCAACCAATCAGAGAAGCTGATCTGAGGCTGGCAGGGAGACAGACACGGCACTGCTAAAGCAGAGCACTATGATCACTCCTCTGAAACAGTTTATTAACGCCTTAATTAATTTAAAATGTTGAAACTTGCCGGCAAAATATGTTCCCGTTTATTATCGTGGTCTGTGTGGCCCCAACAGCAAAATAATAATTTAAGGCAGGATCGTAACATTGACGAAGTGACTGCACAAACAATGTTTTAGGTGAACCCTCTCACTTAAAAACTGCTTTTTATCCACTGATCAAAGCAAATATAGCAAAGCCGCTCTCTGCCATGATGCTGATGATGTTTCACGGGTACACAAGCACATGAGAGTGCACAAGTACACATATTGACAGTGTTGGGACTAACGCGTTACAAAGTAAAGTTACTGTAACGGCGGTATTTTTTTCACTAACTAGTACGCTAACGCGTTAGTTTTTAAATTCAGTAACTCCGTTAACATTACTACATGATGTGTTACTGCGTTATTTTATAGTCTCGGGGATCAGATAGAGACTTAAAAGCTGCAGTGAAGTATTGTTTTCCTGTGTGGGAGTGAGGGAGACAGGAAGGAAACATGCTGAGGTTGTGTTTGTGTTTACCAACACTAGTCATCATGGCGGCTGCTGCAGAGCCCAAGTCGAGTTTCTTCACTTGGAGATATTCTCATTAATTTACAATTTGTGCCTTGGATCAAAGATTCTATCTACAGCCCAGAACAGCTACTGTAATCTGTTGAAACACCTACAAAAGCAACATGCTGCGACGAAGCTAGAAGCTACCGGTGTCGTGCCAAGGTAGTTATCCCTGGGAAAATTTGTATCCCCTCGTCGGGAGCGCGCACGGAGTAGGACGAACAACCCGACTTAACTCCGCCTCAATTCCAACGTGCAGAACTTGAAATTTGAAAGGTGTTACGTGTATGAAAGTTGAGCTTTACTGTTTTATTCTTTACTTCACATGTTATAGCAGAATATCGCCAGTGATATTGATCTAAAACTAATAATAAAACACAAACGTTTGCTTGAAAGCTGGTCGCTGACAGCAGTGTCTACTCCTTCCTCTGAAAGCAAACAGATCCTTGTTCTTTTCCACACGTTCATTAAAAAAATCTCTCATTGTTTCACAGTGTCCAAATGTTCTCATCCTATTGAAAACTGTTGTAAACCATATACTTGTAATAAAAATGAAATAGAAAATGGAGTGCACGTGTAATCATTAAAGACTATATGCAGAAGGAAATAATTTTTTCCTGGTTGAAATTTAGTACTTAAATCTATATCTGTGTTTTATATTAACTTACAATTTATCACTGTTGTACTATCCTTAATAAACAGTTTGTGTTCTAACATCAGCCGTTTTATTTCATCCCATATTGCCAGAATTGGCAATATGGGATGAAATAAAACCTGCTGTAATCTGTTCCCCCTGTCTAAATCAGACAAAAAAGGTCCCAGCTTTTTCATTTTTGGCTTATAAGCATCTTTTATGATGACAATTCATTCCTGAAACTTTGGAGGTGATGGACCTTTATTTCTTAAAGTTATAAGGGGGGAACAAATTATAGCAAGCCACCTGCTGTAAAGGGCAATTTTGCAGGCAGCTACCTACAGTACTATGTAGCATTGTCAGTTTGTTCTGCCCTGAAATAAATTGGCACTTTGAAACATATCTTTGTTGCTTGTATATAGAATTGCTTAGCAGGGTTTCATGATGCAAATGCATGTCAAGTTCTTCAACAGATGGTATTATTCTCCAGTGCAATAACATTTCTGAAATGAAGGATATAAGGGCATAATGTGAACCTTGAAAAAAAAAGTAACTAAATAGTTACTTTTCACAGTAACGCATTACCTTATGGTGTAAGTAACTGAGTTAGTAACTAAGTTACTTTTGAAATGAAGTAACTAGTAACAGAAACTAGTTACTGCTTTTCAGTAACTAGCACAACACTGCATATTGAGAAACGGCCCATGTGAATGTTAAGTCCACAAGTAGCAACTCCCAGGATTCTCTCGCTGAGAAGTTCTGAGCGACCAGTGTGACTGACAGTCAGCCGGGAAATCACAGAACCAATGTGCCACAGAATCGCAGTCTAACTTCTGCTACAGTAAGATGGTTTTAAAGCATGAATCTAGGGCTAAAACAATTAATAGGATGAATTGTGATTAATCAATTATTGAAATAATCCACTAATTTAGTAATCGATCAGAGACTTTAAAACATGCCTTTAGCTGACAGAGTAACAGAATAAGAGCAGTAATTATATCAAAATTGTAAGAAATATATATCTAAACATTTAGCATTTAAGATATAAAAAAAAAAAATTGTGTTCGTTGGTCAATATGTTCTATCCAGAACTCCTCGTGAAAAAGTTTTACTCTAACCTGAAAAAAAGATCTTAAAAATTGTAAAAAAATCTTTTTTTAAGGAACCTTTTGCTACTGTATTTATTTATTTTGGTTTTGTCATTTTTCGTCCTTCATACTGAAGACCTTGATGACTGCACACATTTAAAGGTATACTATGCAACCGGTGTTGATTTTCCAGCGAGGCTCCCCCCAGAGGGCGAAAGTAAAAGTGCACTGTCGTAAATATGCACAGCTGTTCTCCTGGTTTCTCCGTCAAGCCAGGCGCGGTTGTTTTGAGCTTAGCAGACAGGTGAACGCAACGAATGACTAATGCTGCGTTCACACTGGACGCAGCTGGCGCGACAGAAGCAGCGAGTTTACATGCAAAGTCAATGGTTGACGCGTGTCAAGGCGCAGCAAAAGGTCCCGCGACGCGTTTTGAGCAGCAGGCGCAGCGCGTCTGAGCAGCTGAAGCAGGGAGAGAGACACAGCGCTGATGATCAGAGGCTATGATCACTCCTCTTAAACAGTTTATTGACGCCTAAATTAACTTAAAATGCAGAAATTTGCCGGCAGAATATGCAGTTTGGATTATTTAGATGAAAAACACCTACCAGCTGCCGTGGTGAACTGCGAGGAGGCGACCTGGCCAAAGGCTGCTGATGAAGGGATTCCTAGGCGCACCGCTGGTATGCGGGGGTCTGAGCGGCTCCGACAGAAAAAATATTGAAGGCAGGATAATAATCTGAATGAACTGACGGCACTGATTACGTTTTCAGATGTATTTTCTCACTTAAAAACATATTAAAACTACTTTATTCCCACTGATCACAGCAAATATAGCTGCAAGGCAGAGAAAGGATAGTGAAGCTCCGCCCAACGCGCGTCAGACACACTTTTGCACCGTGCAGCCAGAGCAGCAAAGCTGCTTCAGCCGTGCGTCAGAACAAACTGGAACAAGCAGCAAAAATGAAGCAGCAGACGCGATTTTGCTGCGTCCGATGTGAACGTAGCATAACTGCACAAAGATCGCCACTGTGCTAGCAACGAGAATGCTTTTAACTGGGGGCGTGTAGCAGTTCTCGCCGTAAAGCAAGATTGACTCTCGCGAGACTTCTGAGCCTGTGGGCGCGGGTTGGTGCTCCTGCAATTGCAAGTGCGGTATTTCCCCCACAGACCACCAGGGCGGCCGAGAATACCTTTGTTCAACCTGAAATGACTCATTTAATCATCCATAACGTTATGGAACACATTAATTAACTGAAAAATGTTGCATAGTTTGCCTTTAAACTTTGTTTACAGGAGCAGGGAGGCTACAAAGTTTGGAAGCTGGCTCTTGAGAGCTGAAGTTAACTACCCACATTATTGAATTCCCCATGGAAATCATTTTGTAAGTGTTTAGAACACTTATATCTTACAGACGTGTAATAAAATATGAATAAAAAAAAATAATCTGCAATATGAAATGATAAAGTCACAGGCTGAGTTGCTTTTATTTATTCAGGGACACTATGGTGACCTCACGATTTTAGCCAATCAGACATCCAGTAGTTTTTATTAGTTCAGTGATAAACACCATACTTGTATAGTATAGTAGAGGTCAATTCAACTATGATATAGTTGAATTGACCTCATAAGAAATAGAATTTTAATTAAACCTAATTAAATAGAAATTTCACTTCATGCAGCTCTCTTAATATATATTGAATCCCTTGCCCTGTTTTTTATTTCATGCTTTTCTGGGCCCCCATGAAAACATGCTGGCCCCCTCCTTGCCCCCTGGTACATTTGGTCTAGAGCCGCCACAGGTACTAGGTCACCGAATCAGTTCAGTTTAGTCTGTCAAATAAACTGCCTGTAGTGTCTTTAAATGTCCAGCAGGTGTCAGTATTCTGTGAGAAGTATAGAGGGATTATCAGGCAATGTCACTCTACGTCACTTCCGGCACCAATGCGCATGTCGCCTGCAGAAAGAGCCGCTAACATGTCTTGTGCTGTCGGTTGCACGAACCGTTTTGATAAAAACAATAAAACGCGCAAGTTTTACCGAATCCCATCAACTCGCACCCCTTTCAAGGCAAACAAGAGACGTCTTTGGTTGCAAGCCATCAGAAGAAGCGATTGGAACGAGCAGATGATTAAAAATGCATCAATCTGCAGCGATCACTTTATATCAGGTAAGTCTTATCTATAAAAAAGCTAAACGGCATCGCTGGTTATACAAACAATGGTTTTACATACAATTATTAAGTATTACATATATAAACGGGATTAATGAATCGTACAAAACACATTGGAGCATAACTAGCATACAAGTTAATGTACCTTGATTCAGTCTTATCAAGTTGCAACTCATCGGGTCAGCCATAAGTTTTATCATTAACATCATCACGTTGTCTGGTCTAAACTTCTCTGTGTGTGCTGTCTTTTCAATTGATTGACTAGTGTCTGTAATAAAGGTTGATGATGATGATGATTGCGTCAATACATTATTTGTACAGGAGAGGCATCAGACGACATCGACAGCCCAGACTTTGTCCCGTCTATCTTTCCATACTCAATCCAGCCCGGCAAAGACGGTGTTGCAAAACTGGAGCGGTAAGTACCGGTATCACATCTGTGTGCTTGATTGTTGTCTGATTACAAGCATGACTCCACATAGTATGACTGGAAGTGCAAAGAAAAAATATTGATATATTGTAGCTATATAGGTTACCCGGGTTAAAGGTCAGAGCATGTAGTTTTTATTAGACATCTCATATGGAGAGTTGGGATGACTGAGCATGTGATTTGTATGGACTTGAGTTCAGGAGATAACACCTGTGGAACTGTTTTGTTTTTTGGGGGGTTTTTTGCACTAAATGATTGTTCTCTCCTGTGTGTTTCAGATATAAGAGAAAAAGAAGAAGGGATGCAACCCCCAGCAGGTGTCCAGAAGATGGACATCAGTGTACACCCTCTTCCATCTCTCCAACTGAGTGTGGAATAGAGGCTGGTGCTGATCTATATAATGGTATGAAACCTTATTACTAACCTGACCAAGACGGCCTGCAAACTCATTTGGATTTTTATAAAGGGACGTAGATCTGTGTGTTCCTAAATGTTAACATATTAATTATTGCAGAATAGAATAGTCACTAGTGTACGGAAGAGGTTTAGGGCCACTGAAAAAAAAAAAAAAGTAAACTGATTTTTTAATTTTATTTCAGTTTAACATGGGAACAAAGTCAGAATTCTGAGATTAAAGTCAGAATTCTGACTTTTTTCTCAGAATTCTGACTTTTTTCCCATACTATACTGAAATAAAATAAACAAAAACAGTTAACTTTTTTTTTTTTTTCCAGTGGCCCTTATCCTCTTCCGTACTAGTGGGATTAATCAGTTAGTAATGTTCATATTTGTTGCGAACAGGTATTTGCCCACAGTGTGACTTATCACCCAGAATGTAACCATTTGTTTTTTGTAAAGATAAGAATGTAAAATTTGTATTTATTTTTCAGAAGGTATGGTCCCAAAGACTGTCCATGATGACCTCCAGCTGAAGTACAGCCAACTTCATACAGAGTGTGATAACCTGCGTGAGGACATCAACAAACTGAAAACAGAGAATGAACAATTAAAAGAAATGCTCGGGACTGCACAGTTCTCTTTTGCGTCACTGAAGTGTAAAGCAACACAGGTGCTGTTTTTCACAGGTCTAACCAGTGCCCTCTTTAATTGGGTCCTGCCGACGATTAAGGACAGTGTTGAGGTCATCCGTGGCTCTCTGACCCTAGAGGATCATCTTTTGGCTGTACTCATGAAACTCAGATTAGGACTCACCAACAAGGATATTGCATTCCGATTTAATGTTAACGAATGTGACATCTCTAAAATCTTAAGAAGTTGGCTGCCTATTATGTCTCAGATTTTGAAACCTTTAATCAAGTGGCCAAGTAAGCATGCTATTTTAAAGAATATGCCAAAATATTTCAAACCTAAATACCAGCGTTGCAGGTGCATTATTGACTGCACAGAAATTTTTATTAACAGACCAACAAATTTAACAGCCAGAGCCCAAACATATTCAAATTATAAGAGCCATAACATGGTTAAGTATTTGGTTGGCATGTCACCTGCAGGAGCAATTACATTTCTGTCTGCAGGTTGGGGTGGGCGTGTTTCTGATAAACAACTTACAGCCGAGTCTGGATTTTATGACCTTCTACAAGTAAATGATGAGATACTAGCAGATCGTGGTTTTACCACCTTGCGTGGTGCTACTACCCTGAGGATCCCTCACTTTACCAAAGGTAAAAAGCAGTTGTCTGATCAAGAGGTGGAAACATTGAGGCGTTTGTCCAATGTTAGAATACACATTGAAAGAATAATAGGGAGATGGAAAACTTTCCGAATTCTTACTACTGTTATTCCTTTATCACAGGTGGACCTGTTAGATGACATTGTAATTGTTTGTGCAGCATTGACAAACATTTGCAAATGCATAGTCCCTAGAAAATAAATTAAAAGCCCTTAATTGAATTGTGCCAAAATTAAGGCCTTAATGTTGTTAACATCTATGAATTGAGGTTTAAATGTCATTGAATATTATTTTTTTGAAAAAAATGATTATTTTCACTGCATAAGCTCATTGAACATTCAATAGCTGTGGTTTAAAACATTTTGCAGCAGTTTTGGTTCAAAATGTGTGTTGTATCCAGTTTGCTTTTGAATATTGAGATTTTTCCTCATTCCTCTGTTGTATGATATATTTCAAAATCTTAAATGAAATATGCAGATATTTTGCTTTGTGTTTTGCCATTGAAAAGAATACAATTCAATCAGCTGAAACCTGTGTAAACCCTGTGTAAATATTAATAAAGTATTCAAGAGTCAAGGAAACATTGAAATATATTTATTCTTGTGCATGTAACCAATAATAAAAATAACAATATTAAACAATCTTGTCATAAGATGCACACTGAGAACCTTAGTGCATACTTTGAATGGTAAGCACAGGTACAGTTACAACTCTATGTTTCAGAGTGCATTTCTTCTAGTTTTTCTGTTTTTTGCACTGATCACAATACCATTCTTTAGCCTTTCTTTTTCCTTTTGCACATTCGTAGTGGAAATGCCTATTGCACTTTGCACAGGTGGGAATGAATGTCCGGCCACTGAATTTTGGGCCATTTTTTCTCGTCATTTATCCACTCACCGGCACGTATGGGTCATTAATACGTATTCCATTAACTAGTGTTAATTTAGCAGCATAACTTATTTTATCACTAGGTGATAAACTGTTGTAGAACGCTAACAACATCGCTAGTTAGCAGATCGCAACTGCTAAATAACCGCGTATAATCACAACATTCGACCAGACGCTTTAAAGGACCCGGCACTTTTTGCAGTCAAGATGCGCGCGCATCTGCCGTGTTGATAAACAAATAATCCCTCTATCAGTATCAATACAGTTTGGCAATGTGTCGAAATGCTTCAAAATGCCTCATTAGCCCATAAATAATAGATATAAACACACCCTGTTCTATTCTAAGAGGTTTCAGAGTATGGACCCACCGGCTAACTGCTATCAAGCCATGTTTAATGTGCTTAGTCGGCTAGCTAACTTGATTACAATAAACTCATGTTTACATGTAACAAAATAAAACGATAATATAAACTATAAGAGTGTGGAGCTTATTCTTAACACAGTTTTAAGAGTTTGTCTCTTACCGCGAAAAGGTTCTCATTTGTCAGAGGGGAAAAACGGAAATTCAACCGCTGCTGATGGCAGTGTCCGTTGGAAATATCCATCCGCCAGGTTATCAAGTCCGTGTCAGCAAACTGCAGACACCATAACTTGTTAAAATTGTGTATTTTATTCCATGTTTTAGTGCATTTCCTCCCGCTTTTATCTATTTCACACGGAACAGAATAAACCAGACAATATTATCATTATGGTAATATAACAAAACAGATTCTGGTCCGGAACTACTTCTTGAAGTGGAGGAATACGTTATTGTTCAATGCACAATGGATTTTCAGGACACCCTCTATATATTTATTTATTTATTTATTTATTTATTGCCTGTACTTTTACCTGAAATAAAAATCTAATATTTAAAATAAAGCAATTTGTTTTAGGTGTTTTAGAAATCTTTCATTGAAAACTTTTTAATTAATTTATATGTTTGTCCAATCATAAGAATGACATTCAATTTATATCAAAATATATACAATGCATAAAATTCCCATTTTTTAATCTAACCATTATGTAAATAACAGAAATTTCGAATACCGATAACATTTTTAGGATTCAGAATTTTGTCTACATACTTTTTGTTTGTTTTATTATATTTAGGAAAACCAACTTTGAGGCAAGAACACACCAAGATTTTTACTGGTCCCGTCTGGCCACTCCTGTAAAACATTTATGGAGCCACCACTTGGTGTGGGAACCACATAACCATATATAAATAGGGCCTATATCCTATACCCAGTTCAGACCCATGCTTATTTAAGCTAAATAGGCTTTACGTAGGTCCAACGTGGGCTGCCCATATGGGCATTTGATGTGGGGCCCATATAACTAAATCCAAATGTGGCCTGATACCCAGTTCTGACCCATGGATATAGAACCAACTTAAGTTCCATTAAACCCCAAAGTAGGCTGCCCATGCCGGCCTTTGGTGTGGGACTCATATAAGTAAATCTAAACAGGGCCTATAGGACGATACCCAGTTCTGATCCATGCAAAATATCACGAGAATTTGTAACAGAACGATGAAATTTCACGAGATTTTGAAAGTAAAATAGATCGATACCGCGTTATGAGCATATGAAAATATCAGCATATCAGCATATACGTATATATATATATATATATATATATATATATATATATATATATATATATATATATATATATACATATATATAAATATATATGTATATATATATATAAAATACATTTATCCACGTAGTTACAAATTTTAATAGGTGCTTTGTAGGGAATTTCTGTCCGCACATGGAGTCATGGAGCGGCCGTGAGGACCTGCTGGACACATAAAACATAAACAGTGCTTAAGCACATAGCGGAATACTATAGAGATAACTTGAGCCACTCTCACCATAAGCTTTATCAAAAAGAAAAGTGTTAAGCCTTGCCTTAAAAACTGACAGGATGTGTGCCTCATGGACTCTAACTGGTAGTTGGTTTCAAAAACAGCCTAATAACTAAAAGATCTTCGTCCCATTCTACTTTTAGAAATTCTAGAAACCACTAGTAAACCTGCAGATTGAGGGCAAAGTGCTCTGTTAGAAAACTGGGAGAACGATCAGATCACTGAGATGGAGCTTGGTCATAGGGCTTTATCCATTAGAAGGACGATTTTAAATTCTCTTATGGATTTAAAATCTCTATTTTTCGGTTTTCAAGTACAAAGAATAAACAGTTAAAATGCTTACCTATCAAACATTTGAACAAAAACAAATATCAACTATAATTTACATGACAATAATAAAAGCAATATCGAAAAGTACTTTAGTGGTAATGTCTATTGTGAGGTAGTAGCTATAATAATGAGAGGAAAGATTGGATATGAATAGATACTACATTAAGGGAGAAGGGAAATCAGAGACTAAACTTTATTCATAGCCTTTCTTAATAATGTGTTCTAGTGTAATAGTTAAAAAACAAAATACATATTGCAGAAAGCATACTACAACATAAAGAACTACAAATAATTTAAAGAACAACATTGAATATTACATGTAATAAGGTGTACATTTAGTATGTAAAATCTAATGAAAAGTAAGTTGGAAATTCTTGGTAAGACATAGAAGAAGAGCATTTGAAACCACCCACAGAATCATATGTGGGCGTGTTCTGGAACACGGATGACATCATTTGGGAGTGGCTATCTATGATATGCAAGGCTCAAAGAAAATTCTATTCCATTCACTCTTAGCCTTGCAGAGAACAAACAGCTGGTTGCAGACAGGAAATACTTTGTCATTTAATTTTACAATAATTTCAAATATCCTGTCTATAACCCTGAAGAAAGGAAATTTGCCCACAATAACGAGACTTGGAGGCGACCTGAACGGTTTAACATATCAAAAGCCTGAAAATACACAGTAAGTATTGGAGGACTTTTGAAGCTGAAGAAATTAGGATGGAAAGTACAGTCAATATGAGCAACTCTGAAGTGTTAAGTGAGGCAGATTGTTGCTACCAAGAAGAGGTAAGTCAAGCAAATTGCAATGTCGATCCAACTATGTACATTTGCAAGTTTTCAAACTCCTTTCAAAATGGTTGGATGAATGCCATGATCCAAAGCGTTGTGAACCTGACCATCACCAGAAAATTTGTGGCCGAGTATCCTGAAGAGTTTTTTGCAGCTTTGTCAGAAACTTCTTTATTTGCCAGCCTTTTGAATACTGCTATGTACCATCCAGGGACGTATTTTTCCCCAGAAGAAATCTACCACGTTCTGATGGAAATTTCTGAACGTGTCTTTACCCAGCAGAGCCATATGACAGCATTCTTGGAAGCTATTTTACGCTGGTTAAACCCATGTGGTATTAACACTCTTTGCGAAGAATACACAGCTATGTCGTGTGAAGGATGTCATAAGGAATGGCTTGACACTTGGGAACTTGGTCCCATCATTTGCCTACCGTACGCAGTGGCAAACG